AACTCTCCATGTAATCAGCCCTGAGGAAACGCTTGCCCAAATTGGCTATGACAAATTGTTTTTGGGTGTTTTGTATTCCGAGTAATGAGTAAAGAATTTTTGTACTCGCTTTGGAAAGATAAACCATGAAAACATTGACAGTGGTTCCATGCCCTTGCCGTGAATAATCATAATGCTGTGATAGTGTCGGCAGTTTAAACTGCATGGTATGATCAAATATGGCCATAATTTCGCTTATAGCATACTCGTTTTTAAAAGTATGTCACATATTAACCAGTTTAGCCTTCAAAACGTTTGTCTCCAAGTTGAATAACATGTTCGCAATTGTAGAATACAAGTAAACACGGCTATGGTCTTTAAACTGAAAACTTAGTTATCGACATTTCGCATGGGAAAAACCTGAATTTAGCCGAACAAAATGGTATGGAAATTAAGTGCTTTCGAGCTTAAAAACGTTTGGACGTCAATTGCGGATTTTATACGGGCTGCATGACCGCAGATAGCAAAACAAATATGGCGATCGAAAATTTATCATAAAACCAACCTTTATCACTCGGACAGCACTTGTATTCTACAGTATACTATTGCGAACATGTTATTCAACTTGGGGACGATCGTTTTGAAGGCTGAACTGGTTAATATGTGACATGCTAAAAACGAGTTATGCTATATATGAGTGAAATTTATATGGCCATATTTGATCATACCAGTTTATACTGCTGACATCGTCACAGCATTATAATTATTCACGGCAAAGTGTGTGTGGAATCACTGTCAAGTACGAAAATTCATTACTCATTACTCGGAATACAAACACCCGCATTAATAATGATTGACGTTTTGTAATTAGCACCTTCACCGGTAGAGTCATAGTCATAACGGATAAAACTTAATTCGTTCAATTAATTAAATTCGTTTGAATTAAAAATTCGACGATAGTGCAACGTATGAAACAGACCTAACCTTTCAATCCTCCTATAATCTTAAAGCAAAACTGGATGCTCAGAATATATACAGGAAGTGCATGGCATTTCAATTCTGGGCTTCAAATTTCAAAGATTTTCCCCCAGACCCCCTATTTATGCGTGGTATGTCAGCCACACGTGGCCTTCAGCCATTGCTATTCCCCTCTAATATATTATCTCACAGACAAGTTCCTTTTCAAAAAATCCCCCCCCCCAGGAAAATCCTTAAAAAAGTCCCTGGCGCAGGAAGAATCACAATAACAGGCGTCTTCACCACGTAGCAAATTAATAATAGTCTTCCAGAGTTCTGGTTTCAACTAAATTTCGATCTAAGCCTAAATAGTCTAAAACATGCAATATCAGAAGAGTTTCCAGGGCCGTAACTTGGAGGGGGGGGGGGTATATTTCATATATTCATGTTCACATACCGTAAAATCAATCGCTTTCAAATGAAATGCGTCGGGCAGTACGCGAATATATGAATATACACACACCCAATTATCGCGTCTAGGAACGGCCACTGGTAACAGGCATATTTTTATGAGAATATATACGGCTATCTACTATTCGATACACGGGCAAAATTATTGTTGACATTTGACCGATTTGAGTTACGTAATTACTTCCATCAACAAGATTAACCAATGGGGATTAAGCTGAAGTTTCTTCGGTCAAAAACAAATTTGTCATAGCTATTTCGGCAGGCGTTTCCTCAACGACGCCCTCACTTATTCCGCCCGCACTAAACGCCTGCAACGCAGGCTACAGTGTATGCCCATAGTGTATGCCGATACATCAATTCCAAGGGAGTTCGGAAAAATATCCAAATTTCCGAGGGGTTGAGACAAATGTTAAAATTTCTGATGGGGTTAGGGCCCCCACAAAAAATTCCGAGGGGTTGAGAAAAATCGTAAATTTCCGAGGGGTAAAAAATCAGGAACCTTGTCAACAGGGAGTGTTTCTGAGGGGGTAAGAAAATTATACAAAATTTCCGAAGGGTTATAAAAATTTGAAAATTTCCGAAGGGGTAAAAAATCAGCAACCTTGTCAACAGGGTCTGTTTCTGAGGGGGTAAGAAAATTATACAAAATTTCCGAAGGGGGATAAAAAAATTCAAAATTTCCGAAGGGGTCTTCCATGATGGAACCTCGTCAACAAGTATTTCCGAAGGGCTTGAGAAAAATGGAAAATTTCCGAGGGGTTCCGCGAAAAATAGCAAATTTCCGAGGGGGTCTTCTCAAAAACCGTTTCCGAAGGGTTCCAAAATCAGTAACCTCGTCAACAGGGGGGTGTGGATATTAAATGGAATGGCCCCATCATCGGGAACTTTGAGAACATTATTTCAATTTGCAGAGTTACATTCTCAAATGTTTAAGGCACTAATAAAATCAAAGTATCATGAAATTATTTGAATAATAGCATAGTTGCCCAGGTTTCTTTTGTTTCAACAGGGACGTTTAATCACATATCGCCCGCTGTAGCTGGTCGCCTGTTGGCAAGGATCACACCCTTTGTCTCACTCACGACTACGCATTTGGCAAGTGCCTCACACACATAATCGTGCAAGGAACAGCAACAGTTAGCTCAGAGCCGTCAATGGTCTATCATCCGATCCCCGAGTTGTTGCATCATTTAAATTACGGACATGCAGTCTCCGATTTTATACTAATATATTTAGCGTTTTCATTGTGGTATGCTAAATGATAGATTGCGCATGCGTAACCGATTAAAGCGTAAAAAGTGCGCATGTGCAACAAGCTTTTACATCCCACAAGCAAATAGGGTTGGGTGATATTAAAAAAATCAACTCATGATTATTGTCAAGGCGTTTATCACGATATTACCGAATATCGTGATAATTTCAATGACCACATTTTTCAATTTTAATTAATATCAAAGCATAGTAAGCTTATACATAATCTTATTAAAAACAGGCAAAACAACACATTAAAGTAATATGAAAGCTTTTCTAGTCTAATATTTACTGTTCATAAACCTGAACTGTGTATGCAGTGTCTACAGTGTCTCCGCAGACACAACTAAATGCCATGGCCACACAGTGCAAGCAAAGCCTGCATGCAATTTCATTGTTCAGCAGCTTACTAACTTACCAACACTTGCTAACTTACCAAGGCTTACTAACTTACCTGCAAGTCTAATAACAACATGAAAGAAATGGCATGACTATGTCTAGCTATAAAAACTTTTAGCTATTTAATACCATGATTACTAATAATCTAGGACCTGTATATGAGTTTGTATGCATTTCATTTAGGACAGATAATCTCAACTGTTTTAGGGCAAATTGACTATGACGGTTGACATGGTAATGCTGCCCAAACCCCAATCTGGGGCGAAACGTCCGAAACTTACCACACCCAAAAACGACACTCTCGCCATAGTGCTATCTACCAAACCATAAAAGCTTTGGCTATTATTTCTGTGGTGCTTATATGGTTCTGAGATGGTGCTTTTAGGGGGTGGTAAGTGTGAAATGCCTAGCACTGATATTTCACAAGAAAATAACCATGCAATACTCATAGTCAAACATCAATTTGTGACTTACAAATTTAGATAAACAGCAGTGGACCTACATTACCTTTTTCCTAAATCTTTTTTATAGAAACATATTGATGACAACGTAAAACCACAACTTTGTCCAATTTGTCATCCCATGTCGGTTGTCAACAATTCGGACTTGCTACTCTTCCATCCAAGCCATTTTGATTGCACTAACCCTTTGTTAAGGGTATCAAAATAAATATGTGAACAAAATATAAGAAATGCAGCATTTTATTACCCTGTAAAATAATGTTGCTTATGAGTCTTTCAAAACATGCCGTACCAAGACCAACAATGAACATTTAATTTATAGTATGACGTATTCATATTGTTGCTACAATAAACAAAACAAATGTTTGTATGATTGTATTTAGTTTTTAATACATTTCACAGTGTTCTTCTATCTTCGTGAAAAAATTCACCCCCACCTGTCACAGCCTGGTTACTTTGCCATGCAAGATTTGTACGGAATGTTTTGAAAGACTCGTAAGCAACGTTTTACAGGGTGATAAAATATTTTGTTTACATATTTATTTTGATACCCTTAACAAAGGGTTAAATTTGTTATTAGTTCAATCAAGAAGTCGTTGACAACTGACATGGGATGACAAAATGGTGTGCCGAATTGGACAAAGTTGTGGTTTTACCTTGTCAATGGTTGAACAGCTAGGATCTGATTGAAACCTATTTAAGAGGCATTGTCTGCAAGAATGGTCCAGCAAATTCTGACACAATTTTCGTTTGGCTTCATAATATATCAATAACTTCCTTGATGTATCCTGATTCTTGTTTAAACAGTCATTTCTTGAAAATTGTCTTATTTTTTTGTTTATCCTCAAATATACTAGACATGTTGAGGAATCCAAAATGGCACTCATGATTAGGATGGATATTTGCAATTTTTCTAACTTTGCACTGAAGTCATGCGAGGGTCTACAGAACATGTATCCGTGTTTTTTTTATTGAATAATGTATGTTCTTTGGACAAAAGTAATAATAAGCCAAATATCTATTTGGAACAGGCGATTTTAGTGGCAGTAATATTTGTCCCATTGGAGTCTGTCATTCATGATCAAAAACCTGATGGATTCCACAAGTCGTAGTAAAAAGTGGATTGCTTATGAAATTTAAATCCTATTAAAATATGTAGATGAATAACTAAGTTATTCATCTACATATCAAATAAGAAAAGTTTTGCTCAAACTCATTTCCTGTGACAAAGGAAGGAGTCTTTATGAGGCAAATCCTCCCTTATGCATGGGCAGGCTAACATTTATGAGATAGTGTTCTAGCCACTATTTCTTGTTAATGCCCGTCTTAGGTTTATTGGAGAACAATATAGTCCATTTATCGCTTCCCTTAAATTTAATCCATGCTAATCTACTCTGTCAGTTCCTTGTCATGATGAGCTGTGTTTTCTGTGTGTAGACTTTTGCGCAATAAACCAATTGTACACCAATTGGAATAATTATGGCAATGTGCGTTATAAGCACATGCCGGTTTATTAATTTTTTGTAATGAATAACATAATTATTAATATAACAAATTATTAAGGAAACTAATGTTCGTAAAAGTAATTATTAAGAAAATTGTTCGCACAGAAAGGGTGGGGGTAATTCAAACGCCCACCACTAAGAACTAGTATACATATCAAAAGGAATTGCGCCAGAAAACGGGGAGGAGGGTGGGTAAACTTGATTTCCGATGGAGATGTTTTGCAGCCAACGTGCAGAGCAGAATGAACCGATCCCGCATTCTAGTTCAACTAAATACTGCAAACTCCTATCCATTTTCCCGCGCATTACAATCATGTGATTACAAAATTCCTGGGAAAATCCCAGTAGGTTTCTATCTATTTATATAGTTCAAGTGCAGGAAGCAATAACATCTTTATTGGTATGCCAATAATTCCTTTATCGCTTCCCTTAAATTTAATCGATGCTAATCTACTCTGTCAGTTCCTTTCATGATGAGCTCTGTTTTCTGTGCATAGGCTTTTGCGAAATAAACCAATCGTACACCAATTGGAATAATTATGGCAATGTGCGTTATAAGCACATGCCGGTTTATTAATTTTTTGTAATGAATAACATAATTATTAATATAACAAATTATTAAGGAAACTAATGTTCGTAAAAGTAATTATTAAGAAAATTGTTCACACAGAAAAGGTGGGGGTAATTCAAACGCCAAAAGTCTGCTTTGAAAAAGGAGACATACCCCACCCCATCATGACAAGGACACGCAGA